TTGAGAAAGTTTTTTGTTGAAATTCAAATTTCTAATTCTAAACTAAATAAAAAAAAGCAAGAAAAGTAAATTACTAAAAGATACATATATATACATCATGTAGGCCTACATGTATAAAAATTGTTGGCAATTTTTTTAAATTGTAAATTTCTCTCCTGCAAACTTTTACTTTCTGATTCTGGGCTTTTGAACAATTGAATTGCCATTATTAACTTGCTTAATAATTACTCTAGAACAGTACTCGTGTACCACTCTTGGATATGATGTATGTCTCTGCTGTGGCAGAACAGAACATTGATTAGCCAGACTATCAATGATCATTGAACAAGCTGAAGACAGGACACATTTAGAACAAAGGTCCGCTTTGATTGTTACAATCACAGAACCTGCATTTGTACTAATAATAGATAGCATTTGTATAGCGCAAATCCCCGCTCAACAGCAAACTCTATGCGCTTCACAATCTACTACTACCCCAGCAGACCCGAGACTTAGAGCATTCTGAAACAACCTCAACTTCCTGGGAAGCAAACAGTGCAAGCAGCCATTTATAGGCGCTTAAACACTGACTGACAAGAACTTTCGCTGTCTATGGGCGGGTACCCATTCCCACCTGGGTGAAGTGAGGAAAATTTGTGTGAAGTGCCTTTCCAAAGGACACAACTCGGGCCTGCAGCTCGAACCCGCAACCTCACGATTACGAGTCCGGTAGCCAGCCTAACCACTGATGCCACTATTATTACTATTACTAGTGTTCAGATTCAGACCAGTCTCATGTGCTTTCATGATCATTGTCTAGACTTAGCAGTCAGTAACAGTGACGTTCCTGCATGTAATTTGCACTACTGCAGCCATAACATTTCAATGGTCAAGTCATGTGTTGGTGGTTTGGTTTGCTGCTCTTATGGTGAAAGATGTTTCCTGTAGTTGGTGCTTTCATTTTACATGTGTATTGGTCCAATCATCCACTGGCTGTGAGGCAGCGTGGTGAAATCAGGTGCTCGTCAAAATTATGAAAGCGGACGGCATTTTTCCGTCAGTTTGGAAGATTTTATCAAATTGTTATTTTTTGCTCAACCCCTGATATGTCCATACAAAAACACATTTCAATGTAAATACATTTATGTTACTGAAAAACATTGATTTAAAGGCACAAAATATATCATTTTTCAGTTTTGAAGGGCTCTTTAGCTATTGAAATTACCAAACTTTGGTGACCATTTTCTCACTAATTTCACACCTGAAACCAGGCGGCCTCACCACCTTCAAATCAGTCGAAAATGTTTTGAATTCTACTCAAGATAGATGGATATTTATTTCATTAAGAAGCAAGGCAAATGAAACAGTTTTCAGATGATATCAATAACTCCATACGCCCAAAAATTGACGGGCGCCCGATTCCACCACATCATACCACTTATTTCTTTCATGTTTAAGAAAGAAAACATTTGCCAAACCCCAGGCAGGGAGATCCAACACTCTATGGGAGCCTGGAGGACCTATGGAGAACAGCAGCCTTCACACTTGGGACTGGGATGTTCATTTAGAAATGAATGAGGACTGAACATGACTCATGATTAGCTTTACGACCGCAGACGCAAGAGCAGAACCGCAAGCCTGATTGACCCTATTGGTACGTCATATTTTACTATTGTATCTATACGACGTGGTGAACTCTGTGCCATCATTTTCCAAAGAGGAAATGTACTCGTTAAATCTGATCCGTGCGCTTTGCATAGCAGTGTCAAAATGATTTTCTGAGAAATACTGACTGAAAGTTTCAAAGAAATCTTTGTACTAGAGGTATTCTAAAATGTGAAGAATACAGTCCGTGCCGGCTTAAAGCACGTTTCGGACTCAAGCACGCTAAACGGCTCTTACCGAATTTTTGCTATATAAAATACACGCCTATAAAAATAAGCAGGATAACTTCAGCTTCAAGCACGCTTCATTACACAAGACAGTAAATACTTTTATGATGACCCATCGAAGTTCGAACACAGTCTACACCACAGCAGTGGAGCGAGTTGTTAAGAGAAACACAGAGAACGCAAGTGATGGACACACACACTCACACGGGCAGAGAGATGAACACAGCCGCGCGCGTGGACATAGGATCTAGCCTAGGGCAAAGTTACACACTGACTAAAAAATACAAAGAGAGTCAGGAAGACAAGAAAGGGTGGCTGGCTGCGAATTCACCTTTGACCCTCGCTATCTGATAATCCTGATTGTGTATCACGCGCGAGGTGGGATGAAGGCGGTGGTATGAATGTGGCACAGCGGGCAGTGGTAAGCATAGGCAGTGTGTAGGCCTAGTGTGCTGTATCGTGACTGGCCGTCTAAATTAAGTTTTCATTTCCCATTCGACCACAAAACAAAAACAAACAAGCAAACAAAAACTACCATGGTGGGTAAAAATAACAGTGCACACTTTTGCGGGACCGCTATATAGGCCTACTTACAAACAAAGGGAAATAGCACGGGAAATTTTCTACATGAAAATCTCTGGATTATGTCTACTTCGCACTCAAGCACGCTTCAGCTTTCTCCCGATGACCGTGCTTAAAGCCGGCGTGGACTGTACAACACTGGGGGTACAAAATTACCCAGGGCGTACAAATAGGGTTAAGATCCTCAAGTTCTCCAGACAACACCTTCTCACTGGCACAGCTCACAAGTTGAAAAGTTGGCCTAGAAATTCAGAACCCAGATTTGTCATCCCAACCACTTGACATCACGAACCTGGTCTTGCACAGCCATTTGAAATCCCATATTTCTTGAAAAATCTGTGTCCGCATTAGGATTAGAAAATTTTTGGGTTAACCATTTTTTCATTCCCCCAAAGTGTTCGAGAAAACTTTAAAAACAATTTTTTTTAAAAAGTATTTTACGGCACTTGCAACACAAGAAGAAGGTCAAGTAACTGCTGAAGATTAGAGGAGTTACAAGAAAGTAGCAAACACAAAAAGGAGGCGAGATAAAGACGATAGATGTTTGACAGGAAAGATGAAGCAAACCACACCAGAGCACCGGCCAACCACCCACTGTGAGAAAACAATAAAATGTCAAAAATGTGACAAAACAATATAAATTGATTTAAAATTGTTTTAATTGTGGCCACTTTTCCTGAGCCCCCTTCACAATCAAGCGATAAAAGTTTTAATGCTAACAAATGTTTTACTGGCAATATCTTACGTTACTTCACCTGACAATTTCACTGTTGGGATCGCGCGAGGACGACGGGACATGTAAAAATATAGGTCCAGAAAAAGGTAGCAGAGTCAAAAAGGGAGAACCACCTATTGTATAATAAATACCATGCATTATTAGTGAGTTCAAAACACAATCACAAAACAAAAGTTGTAGTCCAATTGATTGGCTAATGGAGGTTGCCCTAAAGGATCCCGTCCTCATACAGCCAGCTTGGCGTTCTCTTTCTGTGTCTCTTTGATCAGGTGCTGTTTGTAAGAGAAAATGTCGCCTTCCCACTTGGTCACCTTTTCCTTCTCGCAGACCCAGATCTCCTCCGTCACCTACAGCAACCAGAAAAAAAAGGCAAAAAAACATGTAAGTTAAGTTTTAGGAAGAATTTAACAAGTAGATCATTGAAGTGCCACAGATTAGAGGTATTACTACAGAAAGAAATACAAAGAAAAGGAGGAAAGTTTTAGTTAGAGTTTTACGGCGCTTGCAACACAATAAGGTCATATAAGTGCCGAAGGATAGATTACGTGTTACAAGAGAGTAATTGATAAAAAAGAAGGAGGGGAGATAAGGACGTCAGATGTTTGATAGGAAAGAAGGAGCAAACCACGCCACAGCACTTAGTTTTAGGAAGGGTTTTACAAATAGATCATAGAAGTGCAAAAGATTAGAGGTGTTACTACAGAAAGAAATACAAAGAGAAGGAGGAAAGAAAGGATGACAGATGTTTGAAAGGAAAGAAGGAGCAAACGTTTGAAAGGAAAGAAGGAGCAAACACATGTTCACCAGATCACCCACTAACCCTATCAACGGAGGTCACACACAGACCACATTTTTAAAATAAACATGGGTCTCACAACTAAGAATCTCAAAAAAGGAGGAACTTTCCGCGTGATCACGACAAAAGACCATTTTCGCGAGACAAGAGACACCCATTATTATCATACTGTTTAACTCTAGAATGCTGAAATAAAAACCATCAATTTATCAGAGCAAGGTTATTTCTTACCAATTTGAAGGTTTGGAAGTTAATTTCAAGTAAAATAGTAACTTGCCAAATATTTACAATCTTGATTATGTACAGAAAGTGGTGATTTAGCGGAGAAAATGGTAGTAGCAGAATATTGAGACCCATGTATAAATGACACATGTTAAATCTGGAAAAAGTCAACAATGTGAGCATAATAAAATTAACATAATTATGGACATAGTCATAATTTTTTTAAACCCAAAGCAAAAACGGCTAGTTCAGAATGACAGAAGCACTGTACAATGTTGAATTTGAATGACCGAAAATTAGATTACAAAGCAGAAGTAGAGTTCTTTCTTCAACATTTTTAAAAATCTTCGCTGGTGAATAGAATAGCAAATTACAGTAAAATCCACTTATATCGAAATCCGATTTGTCGACATTTTGACACAACATATTTCCTAATTACGAAATTTTTCCTTCAATATCTTCACTAAACAATTTCTCTATCGACTTTTTTCGGCCCACTCTGCTTTATCGACATGCTTCCTCGGTACCTGGCAAAGCCCACGAACCTAGGGGGGGGGGGAGATACACTAATGGTCAACGGCAACGCATTAATTCTTCATTACGTCCGCATACCCGCCAAGTAGCCTATATCGACACACCAGGCTTTACTAGGTCATGTAGGGCCTACACAGTATAGTCTCCAACACAGTACAGTGCCTCACAGACATGAGCGTCTCGCGCGCTGGGCATCACCTCCCTACCCACACTCCCAACTGTGCTGTCTTTTTGCTGCTGACCTCCCCTTGTTTTTTCTTCTTTGGCTCTATATTTCCATTTATCGACATCAAATCCACTTCCCAAAGCATGTCGATATAAGCGGATTATACTGTACTACAATATGATAGATGAGGCTTTTCAGTATTACCTGAGATATCAATCTGAAGTCGTGACTGACTAGAATCATGCCCCCTTCAAACTCGTTGATGGCCTCGGCCAGCGCGTCGATTGTCTCAATGTCCAAATGATTGGTGGGTTCGTCCAGCAGCAGCAAGTGTGGGCACTGCCACGCCAGCCAGGCAAATGTCACGCGGCAGCGCTGGCCGTCCGACAGGTTTCGTATAGGGCACACCTGGAAACAGGAAGTAGAGCAAATAACAACAATAAATAACAAATCAAAAAAAAACACAAACAAACCAAAAAAAACACAAAAACCAAACACAACTCTGGACTTGTCAGACTCTAGTCTCAATTCAGAAATAGAACCACAATCTACATGCATGCCTGTTCAACAGTCCTTTAGTCCAAAGAAAAAAGAAAAGTTTTCAAGGTCTCAAAAAAAATCCTTGCAAAGTTTGTTCTTTGCAGAAATGACAAGACAGCAGCAATAAAAAATATGGGTGAATGGGTATGGGTGGCAATGAGTGGGTGTTTATAGTAAGATGGACAACAATATTCATATTTATATATTCATTGTCAGGTAAGTTTCACATGTTTAATAAAAAATTCTGAGATACTGTATATGGACCGTAACCCTATCCGTAAGTCATGTTTTACTATCGTATCCATACGACGTGGGAATCTCTGGGCCACCACTTTCCAAAGAGGAAATTTACTCGTTAATCCGATCCATATGCTTTGCATAGCAGTCTGTCAAAATGATTTTTGGAGAAATACTGAAAGTTTCAAAGAGATCTTCGCACTAGAAGTATTTAAAAAATGTGAAGAATACAACCCTGGGGGTACAAAATGACCCCAGGGTGTACGGATAGGGTTAACAGAAAAACTGACAAACCTGCTGCATCCCAGTGAGTCCAAACCGTCCAATGATCTTGCGCATTTCTTCCCTTTCCTTGATGTCTGGGTAACACTTCATCATGTAGTCAAGGGCAGACATATCAAGCTCCAACTGGTCACCTAAATGCTGTGTGGAACAAAACGTGAAAATTTTCTCATTTCAGTGCTGGGAAATTTTTAATTCTCTTCCGATTCAATGTATGATTTATCGGCAGAAAGGGGCAATTCCATTAACATCCATGGTTTTATGATAAGTCCCTTACATCCTGTTTTTGTTTCAG